TCAGTGTGCTCTGACTGGCCTTTGTCATTTGGAGATGATGGCAGAAGTCTGTATTTGAGGCCTCTTTGTGACCGTGAGGCCACCCCTGCCCCTAGGCTCTCACCATGTGTGCCAGAGAACCTGGAGTTTGGGAGTCCTGCTTTGTGTCTTAAGCACAGAGCTTTTCAGTTTGCAGAATGCTCTCTCAGGTGTCCCCCAGGGCCCTCCACCTGGGTGTCTTGCATTGCAGAGGATGGTTGGGTCATCCCTGGTTAGGAAGTAGAGTCTTGTCCAGGGAAAGTGACTGTCTTGCTGGCAACCAGTGGCAAATCCAAGCAGAAATCTAGCATCCTGACTCCATGTTGGGGGCCCAGGTGCCAATCTCCCCAACACACTGCTTGCAGAGAGGCAGGTGGTCTTTACTTGCCTCTCTTCAGATGTCCAGGGTGGCATTCACCCATAGGCAGGCCTTGAAGGGCTGCTCTTCCTGGCCTCCCTTTCCTGCCACATCTCCACCCTGTGCAGATGGGGCAGCTGGGAGAGACTAGGTTAATTCAAGCTGTGAAGTGAGCAGGTGATGTGGGTGATAATTAAAATGACAGGAAGTAAACAGCCTCAGAAACACCCAGCATGTGCCCCCTAAGCCCGTTAGTCCTTCGCACTCCATCTCTCCCTTAGCTTGGCGCAGTGAGCCCATCTCCATGGCAACCAAGCTGAGCTGCAGAGATCAAAGCAGGAGATGGGTTAGCTCCAAACCAGAGGTGGTGAAGGGATTTCTGGAAAGAGCCTGGAGAACAGAGAACCCAGGTGTCTTCCCTCTCTAACACCAGTCCCTCCTCTCCTGCTGTGGGACTCCCTGCCTTGGGGTCAAAGCAGAGCTGATGTGGCAGGAGAAACCACCATGGGCTGGGATTGGGCCTCCTGATTCCACCCCTGGCCTGGGTCTTTCTTCATCAGCTAACATGTATGGACTGCTGGTTAGAGACCTGGGTTCTGTAATCACCGTTCTGGGTGCCAGTGTTCTCATGCCATGTGATCGTTCATAAATCACTTAACCTTTCTGAGACTCAATTTATCACCCGAGAAACGGGGATAATAACAGTAAGGCTCTCTTAGGGTTGCTGTGAAGAGAAAACAAACACTGAATGGAAAGCACTTAGCATAATGCCCGAGCAACAATAGACTTCTCCAGGGAAGGGTTTTTAAAGATCCTAACATTGCTCTGGTGGTTTCTTTTCATGCATTATAAAAGCAATGCATGTTCATTGTAGAAATTTTGGAAACTTGGGGAAAAAAGCAAAGAGATGCCAAATGTGTTATATCCCTGCCCTACAGAGGACGCCACTGTAAAACATTTTGCTAGGAGTATTTTTTCACCTACCCACTTGGATGTGTTTTTTTTTTTTTTTCCTCCTCCAAATGAGAGCAAACTATCCATTCAGTGAAGTGGACACCTGATCAGAACTGCATTCTAGAAAGGCCATTATGGCCCCAGGGTTGTGGAAGGTAGATGAGGGGGAATACCAGCAGGGGGTGCAGCTGTTGGGTAGGCTGGGGCATGGAGTGGAGAGAGTGGACTAGCTGAGACTTAGGAAGAAGGGAGGGGACAGGGAAGGTAAGGACAAAAGGTGGGTAGTGTTTGGCTTGGAGAGAGTGGAATGGTGCTGGGCTGTGGGGAGTTTGCTGCCTAGAGGCTTGCTTTGTGTGAGCCTTCCTGGGAGGAAGGAAGAATAGCTGTTCTTTCCATGCCTGGAGCCTGCTGTTAGAAGTGAAGAAACCAAAAGACAAAAGCAAAGTATCAGGCAGAAGGTGCACAGCTGGATGGACCTGGGACTTGAGGGCTGGCCTGGTGGCCTCTCTTTGGCTGCCTCTCTTGGAATCAGCACAGAAGCTTGACAAGAGCCCACCCATGAGTGTTCAGTGACCTCAGGCAACTCTAGGGCATTGGGAAAGCTTGTGGGGGTGGGGGGGAGTTACTTGCTTCTGGCCCACAGTCCCCTCTTCCTCTCTCTTCCTTCTCAGGGCAAGACACCACTCCTGCATTAAGCAGAGAAAACCCTAATACATGTAGAGTGGGGTGGGGAACAAGGAAGCCTGGTTTGGCTCTTCATCTGTCCTGTTGCTCAGCTTCTCTGTGCCTCAGTTTTTTATGATGTTGTTACAAAGTACTTCCAAAGGACTTTAAAAGCACACCATGTGAGAGCTGGGTATGATGTAACACAACTGTAATCCCAGAACTCAGAAGATGGGGGCAAGGGAATTCAGAGTTCAAGGCCAGCCTGAGCTACATAGTAAGACCGTGTCTCAAAGACAAACAAAAACACTGTTTTCTACAAGTATGGTACATTCACACGATCCAGAAGTTTTCCTCACCTCTCTGTGTATGCTCTATAGTCCTCTGTTATCCCAGAACTCTGATCCTACCCCATCTCCCCTCCAGCCTGGCTCTGGCCCCACAGCCCTGAAGAAGGGCTCCCCAAATACTCATCTGTCATGTGAGGCTGGATCGCAGCAGAGTCAAGATGGCCTTCTGCTTCCTGAGAAGACCCTGGTGCCTCCCTGGACCATTTCTCACACCTCTTGGGTGATATAAATAGACTCTGTGTAGGGTGGGGCATAATCCACATTGCCAACAGACTCCTTTTCCAGCTTATAGACTGCACCAGCCCCACCTGATCTCAGAGGCCCCTGAGTGTGTTCCTTGGCTGTGTCTCAGACTGTCCTTTCCCATACTGCCTACAGGATGCCTTCATCACCCCAAGGTCCTTATAGGGAGTGACCTCCTCACTCCCCCACTTACTATCTGCTCTCCCCATGGTGGCCCCTCTCTCCTTACTTCTCAGGGGCCCCCTCATCTTTCCTCTCTCTTCCCCCACACTTTCTCCTCCTGACTCTGGTTTCTCGCTTCCATAGCAGCTTTGACTTGTGGTATGCTTCTGTGAGCAGTGCCAGGGTTGGGGTACTGAGCTTCTCTGGGCCAACCAGGGGAAGCCAGGACTCTGGGGGACTCCAGGGCCTTCTCAACTCATCTCCTGACTGGCTGCTTCCACCCTCCTGCAAGTGAGAGTCCCAGGATGCAGAACCACCCCACTCACCACAGTGGGGCCACAGTAGTGGCAGGGTTTAGCTGGACCCAGATGGCAGTTGGGTACACAGGGATCTGCCTCTGCCAGCTGAGGTCTCTCCTGGTCCAAGAGGGTCTCTCCTGCTTGGAGCCTGGGGCATAGGCAGGGCTGCTGGGTTCTTAGAAGTCCTACCCCACACTCCCTTCTAGAGCTCACTTTATACTGAGTCCTGAGGAATCCACTCATGCCCCAGCTGCAGGGTCAGCCTGAAGTGTGGGAGTGTGTGGGCTTCGAGGCTGGTGCCTCATGGCCAGAGGAGTCCGGAGGAGGGTCACAGATTCCACCCCACACTCTAGTTCTGGGGCAGGTGCTACGGGGCACAGATCTGAATGGTCAAGGGCAGCTAACTCACACTTCTCAGAGGTGCTCCCAGAGCCCAGCCATTTCCTTTGTCCTCTTTTCTTTTCATTTGTTTGTTTGTTTGTTTGAGACAGAATTTCACTATGCAGACCCAGCAAATGAGAGGCATTGTGCCTGCCACCTCGAACTTGCCCAGGGCTCTTGGGGGTTCAACTCCAACCCTGGGCGGTAGGCTCAATGGTTTTCCCGGGAAGCCCCTCCTGAGCCTTCATCTGGACTCAAGGACTTTGGGATATTTGTCTGCTTGCACAAGTTGTCACAGCTAGGTATGGGTGGAGCCAAGGGATAGGGAGAAACCAAATGTGGGAGACAGAGATAAAGAGAGGAAAAAAACTAAAAATGTGAGCAGCGAGCAGAGCCTGCACCAGCCGGACCCTAGTGGGAAGAATTCTGCTGTTCTCTTGCCCTCCCCCTCCTCTTCCACCTCATCTCTTGCTGGCCTCTCTCTCACTGTGGATTAGGCAGGAAGCTGAGCCAGTGTGAAAACTGGAGGCTGCTCACAGAAGTGGGTTTAGATACTTCATTTCTGGGAAAAAACCATCTGGCATTGATGAACTGCCTCAAGTGTCCTTGTTTTCACATGCTGTACACGTGTGTGAAGTGAGGATGTATGTAACAATCATGTTATATGATATATGTGTGAACATGCATGTGTGCACCTGGACCTGCAGAAAGGCACACATGTGCAGAGAAGATTTATTTAGGTTTACACCTGTACCCAATGCAGCTAACTCAGTGGTGACAATTGCCTGCTTGGCTCTGCCCTTTCTGACCTTTGCACACACACACCCTCAGGCCCTCATCCCTGATGTCCTGATGCCTATCAACTTCCAGAGAGGCTTCCAAGACCCCCACCCTATTGTGCCCATTGCTGCTCCTGTGTGAGAGCCCTGTGCTGCCAGATCCCGATACCTCCTTCCCCCAGGCCTGATAGCTAAGTGCCTGATCCCTGCCTGCCTCCACCCTGCCCACTCTGATGGGAGAGGTGTGCAACTAAGGATGGGGGCAACTGTGTGGCTTGTCATTCCTCTCTCTTAGCTCCCCATGCAAAGGCTGGTGGCTGGCTCCTAGCACCGCCAGCTCCAGGCCCCAAAAGCTTCTCCCTGCCTGCCTAGCTCAGCTTGCACACCCTAGGAGTTGTTTACTGGTTTTCAGCAACTGTCTCAGCCCCAAAAGGAAAGGGAGGAAACCAGGCACATTAGGTTTTTGTGCCAGAGAGCTAGTCCGAGTGAGAAGCACTATGGTGCTGGTGGTAGGGCTGGGCCGGGCTGGAGTGTGCTGCCCCCTCAAAGACCTGAGCCTCACCCTGCCACCTCTAGGCAGGCCTTAAGTTCTCCATGATGAAGTGCTGGCCTCTGATTGGAGTACCTAGGGAACAGGGGACCATAGCAGTCAAAGGTCACTGCTCAGCCCATGCCACATGAAGCCAGGAGTTCCCTGGGATTTCATGGTCTGAGGGTGGGCTTTTCACTGAAATACCTTCTCTCTTCCTCTCTCTGCCTCATTTCCTGTGGCCCGCTGCTGTCCTATCTCTAGGAAGTGGAGGTGAGTATTGCCTAGGCCTATGGTCTGTGGCTCTTGGGAAATGCCCTGTCCCTTCTAGTCCCTCAGCACCTTTTTCTAGACTTCTCTTCCCCTGCCAGCCTCAGCCTGGGGTTGGGGGATAGAGGTGTGGGGGAGGCAGTTGGCAGGGCCTGGGTAGATGGGGGTCATCTGGGTAGCCACCAGGACAGCTGCAGTTTGCATGTGGAAGCAGTGGCCCTGGCCACTCCAGTCCTAGGCCCTGTAGTTGAGCCTTGGCTCTAGGATGTGACTCAGTCCCTCCCTTCTCCCTCATCCCTCTCTGCCCTCTCTAGGATGACTACATCAAGAGCTGGGAAGACAATCAGCAAGGAGATGAAGGTAATATGTTCCTCCCTGGTGGGGAGAGGAGATTGACACTGAGAAGAGGGAGACCAGCAGGCAAGGCCTGACCTTGGCTTGAACAGTGAGGCCCCAGTGAGAGTAGGAGGAGGGACTCCAGTTAGGAGCTCTGGTCATCAAGGACTGCTGGAGGGAGGGGACTTCTAGGTCTTCCTAGATGATCAGTGTCCTGACTTGTGTTCCCAAAGCCCTGGACACCACTAAGGACCCCTGCCAGAAGGTGAAGTGCAGCCGCCACAAGGTGTGCATTGCCCAGGGCTACCAGCGGGCCATGTGCATCAGCCGCAAGAAGCTGGAGCACAGGTGAGGGGCCTGGGGGTGCTCTGGGTGGGTTTGTCTGAGAGCATGCGCTCCACTGATGCATTTTTACATTCTGTTCACCTGTTGCCACAGAACACGTTACCCAAAACTGAAAGGCTTAAAACAACAGGAACTCCTTATGTCAGTTTCTGAGGGTCAGAGATCCAGAAGAGGTTCTGCTAGGTGGTTCTGGCTCAGGGTTTGTTGTGAGGTTATGATCATGACACTGGCTGGGCTTCATCATCCAAAGGCTCAACTGAGACCGGAAGATCCACTTCCCAGTCACTCTTATGGCTGTTTGTTGAAGGCCTCAGTCCTAGTTGCAGAACCTCTCCATGCGAAGGCTTGCGTATCCTCACAGGATGGAAGTTGACTTTCCATGAAGTGAGTCATCAGAGAAAGAGAGAAAGAGAGGGAAGACACACTGTAGACAGCAGTTCTCAAACACTGACGACCCACAGAAAAATCACAGCTTCTCTTTGGGCCTGGGTGCCACATGTCTAAGACAAATAGGTTAGACCACATAATTTGAAGGTCTTTTCAACAAGTAGCATAGTGCATGGAGAGAGCTTGGTGAAGGGCTCCTCTAGCAGGTACAGATGGGAGAGGGGCAGCTGCTTCAGGCATTGGCCCATTCCTGGCTGTGTGAGAATGCAGGACCAGGACTGTCACATCTTGCATTTTCCTAAGAAAGGCCGGGAATCCAGATTTTAGATGAACTCTCATTCTTTGAAAATGTTAGTGAATAACTCAATTTTAAAAACAACAGGGCTGGGAATGTAACTTAGTGGTATAGAGACCCTGGGATAAATCCCTAGTGCCACACACAAATCCACCCTTGGTGGTCAGACAAAATGAGTGATGTGATTTGATGACAAAATGTGATGTGGTCAGATGTGATCCGTGGCTGGCAGTTTGCAAGTGTGATTTGGTGTGATCCTTCCCTTTTACCTCTTGCAGTCCGACCTGGCTTTGCTCTCTGAAGACCCCACTGGCTCAGTAACCCTTGGCAAAGGGTCCTGGGCTCTGGGCCCTGCCCAGTTGGTTCTAGATTTATGAGTAGGAGGAGGGTCTGACTGGGGATCATGGGGAGTGTGGGCAGCAGTACAGGTGGCTGACCTGCTATAAATTGCTGGGCTGGCCTCTTAATTGGAGCTGGACTCCTGTTCCTTCTAGCCCTCTCTTGGTTTTGCATCCTTCCCTGCTACAGGATCAAGCAGCCCACCACAAAACTCCATGGAAACAAAGACTCAGTCTGCAAGCCCTGTCACATGGCCCAGCTTGCCTCCGTCTGTGGCTCTGATGGCCACACTTACAGCTCAGTGGTAAGGAGCCCTAGCCCCAGATTGGGAAGTGCACTTAAGGTCATAGGGAATAGAGGGACAGTCAGCCGGGACCTCTCAAGGAGTTCCCAGGTGACCCAGTCAGTACAGTAAGTGCATCCAACCTATATGGCATAGAAAGGACCCCTGCTCTCCTGGCTGGGGTGACCTGAGAGTTGGAGCCAGACTCTGCCCCAGACGGGAAGGTGCAGGTAGGGGGCGGGGTCTGGGCAAATAACTGCAAGTGGAGTGAGATGAGGGCTTCAGGAAGTACTGGGACTCCTAGAAGGAAGGAGCTTTGCCAACCAGTTGCTGGGAGTGAGGAGAGAGTGACTTCCACACGGGGACCATGGTATTCTGTGGCCAGGAGGGGTTCTTAGAAGGAGGGTGAAATACTCCATGAGAAGACCATATGGGAAAGGACCATGACTGGGGGAACAAATTCCCACCTTATGGGATTTTTGTGAGGATTCAATGAAGAGATGTTTGTGAAGGCATTTCATAAACTTCAGAGTACCATAGAAATGCAGTGTGCTTAGGAATGCTTCTAGCAACAAGAAGTTGGGACTGCTTGGTGCTTAATAGGTACTGACTGTTGGCTAGGGTTGAGTTTTGGGGCAGGGAGGCCTTTCTGGAGTGAGATGCAGATGTAAGAGTCACCAGCTGTGGTGGTTTGAAGTTCCTGAGGGGATGAGGTCACCTGGGGGAAGAGGGTTTAGAGAGAGAATAAGCAAGAGGTTGGAGCAGAGGCTACATGTGGGAGACTGGAAGCTCCAAAGGAGTTGATAGGAGGAGGAGGAGGAGAGCTCATGTTCCACACCAGAGAGCAAACAGGGTGTGGGCCGGAAGCTACAGCTCAAGGTCAGGCCATCCTGTAGGGAGAGAGGTCTCCAGCCCCATGGCCCTGGGCACAGCACTGGGCCTTCCTGTGCTTTGATGTTCTTTGCTGAGTAAGAGAAACTTGATCCTCCCTCATAGAGTTGTTGGGGACTGAGGAGATAACATTGTCAAATGCTGCAATGACCCACTTTACAGTAGGGGTCACAATAGGGGAGAGACAGATAGGAGATATAGGGAGAGGAAGTGGTTACCAGCAAGAAAGGCCCAGGGTCTGGCAGCTGCTTGTTATCAGAAGAGCTGGGAAGGCCCACTGGAAATGACTGTGGGAAGACCATGGAGGGCCTGAGAGCCCACACACAAGAACTAACTGAGGGACCATGCCCATGAACGCCAAGGATGGGCAAGAGACAGCAGGGTAATGGGTGAGCTGAGTAGGGAAATGGGGCCAGGGAAGAATAGATATTCAGAGAGGGCAGGCCTGTGCAAGGTGGGTCTTAGGGCTGTCTTCCATAGCTAGGACTGCTCCCTGTGACCCCCCCTTCCTGGGCTTACTGCCCCTTACCACTGAGGAGGACCCTTCCTGGCAGGTGTTGCTGTCATGGTGGGAGGCGTGAGGGGGCCCCAGGTGCAGAATCCATGGAAAGCCCCCATCACCCAGCCTGACCTTTCTCCTGCAGTGTAAACTGGAGCAGCAGGCGTGCTTGAGCAGCAAGCAGCTGGCAGTGAGATGCGAGGGCCCCTGTCCCTGCCCCACAGAGCAGGCTGACACCCCTGCCACCGACGGCAAGCCAGGTACCAAGAGTGTGGGATACACCCACAACCAGGGCCCCCGGGTTACCTATTTCAAGGCTGTGGGATAGTAACAGAGGCTTGCGGAGCAGGAAGGAAGAAGTGGCAACAACAGAGAAAGACCCAGGGGACCTGTGGGGTCAGGGGCCCTAGCTAACATAGAGAGGAGGCTTGAGCCTCAGCACTCTTTTCTCTTCTCTGCCAGGAATCTGGCTGTACTACCAGTGCTGGGGAGGGAGCAGTAGGAGGAACTGGGCAAGGCAGGGAAAGGAAGACGCTGATTCCCACCTTCTCTCCCCTACTACATCCCTTACTGTTGCTCAGCCTCCTGGGCCTGTCGCATCACCCCACATTCCGCTCCTTCTCTGTTCTGCCCATTTCAGAGACCTGCACAGGTCAGGACCTAGCTGACCTGGGGGACCGGCTGCGGGACTGGTTCCAGCTCCTTCATGAGAACTCCAAGCAGAATGGTTCAACTAGCAGTGCAGCCAGCCCAGCCAGTGGTACAGGAGCTGGTGCTCTGGGGTGGAGGGAAGGAGTGGGGAGCCAGAATGTGGGCCCCAAAAGAGCTCAACTCCCAAAGAAGGGGAGAACAACTCCAGTCGTGGCAGGAAGTGTATAGGTAGCTGATAGGAATGCCTTCGTAATGTGGGTGGAGGGGCTTAGGCCCTCAAATGGGTAAACAAGGGAAAGTAAAGAATTACTGTTTTCTGGGGCTGGAGGGGTGTGGCTTAGTGGTAGAGTACTTGCCTAGCATGCATGAGGCCCTGGGTTTGATCCCCAATACTGAAAAAAAAAAAAAATCAGAAGGGCTTTTAAAACAGGATTTTGAGTGGTTCCGCTGTAGTGGGAAGAACCTTTGGCCATTCTTGAGTTTCTTGACCCCAAGGTAGGTTCTAGGCTGCCCTGACTCTGAACAGAGGGCTAGAGCTGAGAAAGAGGTGGAGGGATGAAGGGATGGGCGACAGAGCATGTTTGAATCCTGGTCTTCTCCCCAGGGCTGGATAAGAGCCTCGGGGCCAGCTGCAAGGACTCCATTGGCTGGATGTTCTCCAAGCTGGACACCAGTGCTGACCTCTTCCTGGACCAGATGGAGCTGGCTGCCATCAACCTGGACAAATATGAGGTCTGCGTCCGCCCCTTCTTCAACTCCTGCGACACCTACAAGGACGGCCGTGTCTCCACTGCTGAGTGGTGTTTCTGCTTCTGGAGGGAGAGTGAGTGTGGCCCGCCAGGGACAGGCTCCATCCCAGCTCCAGGCTCTCTTTGGAGTCTGTGCATCTCCCTCTTAGCTATCTGCTCAGGCTCAGGACCCCTCCCACCTCTCCTACCCACTGCTTTCTCTCAGGACCTCCCCTTTACAGCCCAGGGAAGCCAGCACTTCCTGAAGTGCTTATGCAGTTCCTCAAGCTTATACACTTTTGGAGGCTTTCTGTAAGCAAGAAGATGAACAATTACAAACATGAATTTTTAGGGCCCCTCTCAGAGGGCCAGAAAGAGAAGGCCCTGTGAAAGCTGAATTCACATCAGCTTCTCTGATCTCACTTCTGGGAACATTTCATGTAGGTATTGCATAGGGTATCCTTAGCCTTACTTGCATGGTGACATCTGTAATCTATGCATGTTCAGAGCCAGAGCTGGATGTGTGCTTAGACATCATCTAAGCCAAAAGGCAATTGTCATCAATGGGGAAACCGAGGTCCTGAGAGCTTAACTGACATGCTCTGCCAGGAGCAGGGATAGGCCCAATATTCTGTCTCACTGGCCATTATGTGGTGGAAATAGTAAACTCTTCAGATCCAGAGGCTTGGGCTTTAGCTAGGACTCCACCATATGTTTGTTTAGAATCCTGGGCAAGTAGCCAGTTCTTTCTGAGTTCAGTTTCTTCATTAAAATCGGGAGATAACAATACTGACCTCAGAGACGGTAAGGATGAACTGAGAACGTCTGGACACACAGCACCATGGAATTCACATACCCCTGTGACAATTGGAGGTGCTGGGATCCATCTTGCTGCCCTGGCTGTCCCACTTCCCTGCTGCCTGCATGGCAAAAGCATGTTTGTCCCCAGGCCCTGTATGCTCATTCTGTCCCTTCTGTATGTTGGTATGCACAGAAGGCTGAGACTGTCCTCATTTTGCAGTTAGGCAGACCTTAGCCTGGAGGGGCCAGGGACTTCCCAAGGTCACAGCTAAGCTAGAGTTTGGCCACTAGTTATCTTCAGGCCTATGAGTTCTGTAACATTCCCTCTAGCCTATGTCCCCTTGGGGTCTGTAACCCTGGGGTATCTGCATGCTCTCCCATCTTCTCTTTGAGTCTTGTTGACTGATCCCATGGATCCTAACCCCCTCACAGACCCTGAGGGGCTTCTTGGGATCCTCAGCCCATCCCATAGCCATAACGGCCTCCCTTAGAGACAAGGTGTTTTCATGACACTGGTTTGGGGACCTTAAACAGACCAGTGCATCCCTTCAGTACCCTGGGGTGGCCCTTTATGAGAGACCAGGCATTTCATCTTGCAAAGCACCCGCCAGGGTTCTAAGCCTTGGGAGGCCCAGTATGTCCAGCAGCACCACGCATGGCCTTCAGAGACTCCTCTCTCCCCACAGAGCCCCCCTGCCTGGCCGAGCTGGAGCGCATCCAAATCCAGGAGGCTGCTAAGAAGAAACCAGGTTAGATGGGGTGGTTGTGGAGAGGTGGGAGGGCTACTCTTAGCTTCCCTGAGGCCCAAAGGCTCCAGTGCCAGGAGGCCCCCCAGAGGCTCCAGGACTGATGCTGAGCCCAGAAGAATCCCTGGCCTAGATGACAGAGGGAAATGCCCTTCCGGTTTGCATCCTCTTGGTAGCCTAGGGTCTCCTCATCTCCCCCTCAGAAAATGTGTTTTAAGCAGTAATTTTATGGCTGTCCATGCTGAAACTAGAGGTTGGGATGAGGAAAGATCTGAGAATTCAGTGCAGCTCAGCAAGCATGTGTCTAGAGTGGGGACCCTCCATGATAGATACACCCTGGAGAGACAAAACAAACCCAGCCCAGGTGAGAACTGATGGGTGAGACAGACAAGTCCCAAGCCCTATGAGGTCTTATCACAGGCCAGCTGGGGGAACACTCAACATACAAATAAACACACCAAAAAGACTGAACTGCCCACTGAGGCTTGTATGTAGGTACAGAGGGACAATACAGGTGGACATAAGTTAGCTTGAGGGGTCTGCAGAGGGCCCTTGGGGAGCTGGCATTCTAGGGGAGACCTGAGGAAGAAGAATGAGTCAGACAAATTCAGATGAGCATAGAAAAAAGTTCGAGGTTTTCAGAAAATGACAAACAAGGGCCCAGGCAGGTGGAATGAAGGGTCAGAATTCTAAGAGGCAGGACCAAGGGGCCTTGTAGCTCTTTAAGAGCAATACAACACTTGACTGGGCTGATGACACCAGCACACTTAAAACTTAGTGCTGGAAGCACTCACAGTGCCATGCTGATTGTGGGTCCAGTGGCTGCTGGAGGAGACATGAGTGCTTTGTCTGCCAGGAAGCAATCCTCCCTCATTTGTCTCCCGAGCAGGCCTTTGGCATCTACCCTAGGCTACCTGGTGTCACCCTGATTGCCTCTGTATGAGTCTTACCCACACTAAGTGGGCAGAGTTCACCTCTCAGAAGACATCTGCTGAGTGGACAGGGGAGCAACAATTTGGGAACCTGAGGGAAGTGAGTGGGTCATCTAGGCAGATCTGATTCAGAGGCTGGGAGGAAAAAGCCAAGCATTCCTGGCTGGGACAGCCAGGCCTGGATGGGGAGAGGGGAAATCAGCGGGATGGTAGAAACAGATGGAGCCATCATGGAGGTCTGAACAAGCCATTTAGGGGAACAGGTTCCTTGTTTCCAGTCAGTAAAGCTGAAAGAAAAAGCCCTGGGTGTCTGGGTTCATTGGGTGGTCAGTACCATGTTGGCTGGGCTCTGGGGCAGTCTGGGCCCCTGCTCACTCCCAAGGCTCTATGGGCCTGGCTCTGACCCTGAGGGGCTCTCTCCCACTCAGGCATCTTCATACCAAGCTGTGATGAGGATGGCTACTACCGGAAGATGCAGTGTGACCAGAGCAGCGGGGACTGCTGGTGTGTGGACCAGCTGGGCCTGGAGCTGACCGGCACCCGCACACATGGGAACCCTGACTGTGGTAAGGGCCAAGGTGGCCTAGGACCTCCTGAGGACCTGTGCCTGGGACGGCCTGTGTAGAGCAGGCCTCCAGGCTGAGGGAGAAAGAAGTGGTCACAAGTCCCTTATCCCGCCTTGGCTTGTTCCTCTTACAGATGACATCGTGGGTTTCTCAGGGGACTTTGGGAGCGGCGTTGGCTGGGAGGACGAGGAGGAGAAGGAGACGGAGGAAGCAGGCGAGGAGGCTGAGGAGGAGGAGGGCGAGGTGGGCGAGGCGGACGACGGAGGCTACATTTGGTAGATGGCTCTCCTGCAGCCGTGGCAGGCCAGGGTGCCGACGGCCAGGGAGAGGCCAGCAGAGACCTGGACAGCAGCAGGCAGCTTAGCGAATGGATCCGGAAATTAGTGGAAAGTTACCCTGGCTCCAGTGGGGATGACTGGAAGTATGAGTGCATGGCATGCATGTGGCCTGGATGGCTGGGATGACTGAATGTGTGTGTGTGTGTGCACGTGTGGCATGTGCTGACAGACGTGTCCTTGATCCACAGTGCCCCTGGCAGAGTGAGTCACCCAAAACCCCCTTCAGGCTCCTTGTAATTGTTTTCTTTCCATTTGTTGTTGGTTTAAAATACATGCGTTCACACACGTACATACACCAACAGGCCAGAATCAATGAAATGAGATGCCTGCTATCTCTGTCCCCCAGCCCCACTCCAACACCCTGAGGTCCCACCCCGTTCAACTAGCCCTGCCTCCTCCCTTCCCCTGCCCAGCCTTCTCCCTCCCTGTCAGGAGTCAAGGAAAGGGAGGGCAGGAAGCTATTACTGGAATGCCTCCCAAAGTTGGGACACATTTGGCATGAAATCCCCACCATCCTCAGGTGAGGGCCAGGACACCAGCTGCAGCAAGCCCTGTCCCTTTGCTGAATTCCCAAGAACTAGAGAAACTTCTGACTCAAGCCAGAAGTGGCCAAGAAGGAGCTGGGGCAGGCAGTGAGACAGGAAGGGAGGACACTACGAAGCTGTCTGAGGTTCCACTAGTGAGAGGGTTGATGAGTAGGGACCAGCTTAGCAGACAGAGCCGTGAGGAGTAGAGCTGGTGCAGCCCTGAATGCCAGACCCTGAAACAGCCCCATATGGCCCCCTCTGTGGTCCCACGTGGGGCTTCTGAGTCATGGTCTGAGAGCCATGGGCATGCAGTTGAGCCCTGCCAGCTCCCCCTTGGTGCAGCCTGGTGATAGGGTCGTTGATCCTGCCTCTGTCTGCCTTACTGGGTCCCCTGTCCACTCCAGGGAGCCTGAGGACCAGGAGCAACACGTGTATGCCTGCCTTGTCTCTGACCCCTGACTAAATGCTCTTCTGCCCAGTAGAACCTGTAGAAAGGCTTGTCCTGAGACCCTGTGAAGAAGTTGTCAAGAGGCTGCCACCTTCCTGCTCCTTGAGTCCTTGATCTTTCCCCATCACTTCTCCAGGAAAGACCATCCCCAGCCCCTCTCTTCTCAGCCCCTGGGGTACCCGCTGCCCCAAGGGTCCCCAAGGCACCTAGCAGAACAGCTTCCCCAAGCCCTATTTGAAGCTCTGTAGTATGAGAAAGTAGTGAAAATCAGTCAGCGGGAACAAGACAGGGGTGGCTAACCCTGAGGCCACACCTCACTGTGTGCCCAAATCTTATGAGTGGGAGGTCATCTTACCTAGATAACAAGATAGCCTGTGGGTTTTTGTTTATGTGGCTGTTGTTCTCCCTGATCTGTCCAGTTCTCCCTATCAGCAAGTTCCTTAATACTTTGGTGAAGAATTTCTTACCTGGACTTGGACCTCTGATGCCCCTCAGTGCATGGAGAGTGCAGCGCGTGTGTGTGTGTGTGTGTGTGTGTGTGTGTGTGTGTGTGTGTGTACATGTGTGTGCATGTGTGTGTATCTAGAGCCATCTTGGTGGCCTGGGAGTACAAGGAGGGCTCCCTGCATGCTGGGAGGGGGGCAGCGGTGTCGGGTCCATGCTGTGAGGCCTCCTGGGCAAGGCCCCAGCCTGGGCTCTCCTCAGTGTCTCTTACATCCGCTGAGCATCGGCTGGACATTGGGAAAGAACCTCACGCTGCCTGCCCCTGAATGCCACCCTAAATCAACATCTGAGTCTTGTCTTGGGGAAAAATACTGAAACTCCACTTAGTCCATAAAGCGCTTCCCATATGCAGCACAGTTCTGGTCCTTGAGGTGTCATGCTGTTCCAGCCCCTAGCCCCCTCCTTCCGTCTCTCCCCTGTCCTCCCACTCCTTCCTCTGGTCCCCTGCTCAGTCACATCAGCCCTGTTCAGAGGCAGCTGCTCCCCTGACTGGAGCTACTTGAAACTTTACTCACTAGGATCGAAGTCTCTCTTCCTCTGTCTCAGCTGGACTTCCAGAACTGTCCCTGTGGGGGCTGTGAAGGTTTCTGGGCTCTCTAGGGGTAAGGAGGGCACAAAGGAAACTGTGTCCCTTCTGTTGCTGCTGCCCTCTCCTCCTGGGGGTCCTGGGCTCTCTGTGTCTCTGGGTCTTCTGGTTGTGCACGTTTATCTGACTTTGTAAATACGTTTTAGGAAGAAAGCAAAGGCACTGAGCTTGCCCCTGGCCGGCATGCTGGTGTCCAGGCTTGCCCTGTCTCTGAAGCCCCCCATACTGCTTTTTGTCCCTCTGAGACAGAAGGACCCCTCAAAGGCAGACAAAAGCAGCTGTCCCAGTGGGGCTGAAGGCCTCCAAGGGACTTCTTGTTAGACAAACTTAAGGTTTCCTGTAAAACAAGGTTGGCCCCCCTCAGCACCATGGATTCATGCCTGTGACCTAGCTGCCTGCCCAGCCCTTCCCAACCCTTCTACACAGATGTCTTCACCCCTTTCTGCCCACTCCCCTGGCTTAAGTAGGCAGGGAAACTAGACTGCATGGAAAAGAACTCAACCAAATCACAACCAGATCCTGCAACTGCCCTGGGCTGCCTCAGGCCTCCTTGGCACATGGGTGCTGGAAGAGGTGGTTGTGCAAGATGGGGTAGATTGGGATTGGAGAAAATAAATGTACCTTGAGAGACCACTGGGAGGGTTGGAGGGTGATGGAGAAGGGGCATGGCCTGGGATCTCTAGAAGGAGGTGATGCTAATGAGGGAGGTGTGGGACACCCTGACTGACCCCAGTGGTGGCCTGCTGAGGCTACGACCACACACAGTGGGTGTCACAATTCCTCCCTCACTCAGTCCACCTGGTTTTAATGGGCAGGCCACTCATTTGGTCTTTCATGAGCTCCGTCTGCTTCCAGCCTGAGGGGGTGGGTGTTGTCCATTGGTACAAACCCAGGAACCCTCATTTCACCAATGCCTGAGCCCGCTGCCCTTGGCGAGAACCAGTGTCCAGTCTCTGACATCCAGGTCCTCATGGGGCTGTGGGCTGGCGGGGGCCCCAGGAAAGAGACTGGGGGTACAAAGGAGACCTGATACATCCCAAGGAAGTTCCAAGCAGAGCAAACTGCTTTGTAACCTGCAGCCCACTTAAACTGTGTGATGTGCAATAATTGAGCTTAGAGTTAAGAATTGTGTGCAAGTGCTCGGATTTCTGTCTGTAGATTTAAGTGCTGAAATCGTATCTCTCAGTAATCTTAGATGTTTTAAAAAAGTTGAAAAACAGTGTTAGACCTGTGTGTGCATTGATGGGCACTCAAGCGTCCCTTGGGTCACCCTACCCCCCCCTTTCCTGTGTGCCCCATCCTCTCACACCCCACCTCCTTCACCCTCACCCCTCCTCCATTGGGGGCCCCGCCTTGTCTTGTCTTTATCTGCCTATTACTCAGCCTAAGGAAACAAGTACACTCTACACATGCATAAAGGAAATCAAATGTTATTTTTAAGAAAATGGAAAATAAAATCTTTATAAACACCACTTGCTGGCAATACTCCAATCGTTCTTCTCTTGGCATTTTCATAAAAATGGCATTTGCAAATGAGATTCTATGGTCCAAACCCTCAAGGTGAGCTCATTTCTCTTATTCACTGTCAGACCTTGGAGGAGGGAGGGCTGGGAGGAGGTGCCTCATTCATTCAGCGAGGACCAGGAACAGTTTGAAAATATGTTTGGTATTATATATACAACTCAATAAATTCTCCTCTATATCCCTATTACAAGGCAGAGATCAAGCTATATGTCCCCCCTTCCTCATTTAATGTGCTATGGACCTTTCTCCATGTTATTAAAATTATTTGAAGACATGACTTTTTGGTAGCACTGGGGTTTAAACTCAGCTTCACACTTGCTAGGCAGGCGCTCTACCACTTGAGCTGCTCTGCCAGCCCTCAAATAGGTGCATAGTATTCCACAATATGGATGCACCATAATGAATTTAACCAATTTCTTGAGAAAAACAGTGCTGTGATGAACTTGACATCTATCTCAGATTATTTCTCCAGAAGTAGAATGGTTGGGTAAAAGGGCACAGTTTTGTTTTCTTTTTTACTTGTGATAAAAATACATATAATAGAAAAGTTACAATTTTAACATATACCTCCATAGCATTTAGTACATTTGCAATACTGTACTACCACCACCTCAATGTAGTTCCAGAACTTTCATCAAGGGTATGAGCTGCTTATTTTATCGTACTAGGATTGAACCCAGAGCCTCGTGTATGCTAGGTCAGCGCTCTTCCACGGAGCTTCACCCCTGGCCTGCTGTCTAGGCTTTTAACAGACTTCACCTATGTCTTACCAAGATGCTTTTTGGGAAGGTTAAACCAGTAGAGACAATCCTGCCATCATGGTGTGCAAGTACTGTATGAGGTTCCATATGATACCAGTGTTACAAATTCTGCTTTTGAAAAAGCTTGGCTAGTTCGGCAGGAGAATAAGCATGTATATTTTTTATTTCTTTATCAGATCTGGGGGACTGTTCCCATTCCTCTGTGACTTTTCTGCTCGTAGGCCTTGCTTGCTGTGGTTTGGATAAGGGACTCCCAAAGGTCCATGTATTAAATGCTGGGCCCCAGCCCATGGAGGAGGTGAAGCCCTGGTGGACAAATTGGCTCAAGTGGTAGAGCACCTGTCTAGCAAGTGCAAGGCCCCGAGTTCAACCCTCAGCACCACCACCAAAAAAAGAAAAGAGAGAGAGAAAGAAAAGAAGTGGGGCTTGGACTGGCAGTGACTCAAGCAGTAGAGCACTTGCCTAGTAAGCACAAGGCCTTGAGTTCAATCTCCATACTGAAGAAGCAGGGCCTAGTGGGAAGTTTCCTGCCATTGGAGGCAGGCCTTTGAAAGGGAGGGATTATAGGACCCTGGTCCCTTCATCTCTCCCTTTGCTTTCTGGCCACCATGAGGTGATCAGCTTTGCTCTCTGCCGTGATACACTGCCTCATCACAGGCCCAAAAGCAGGGAGGCCAAGAGACCATGGACTGTAAGTTAAAAAAAAAAAACCTTTCATTCTTATAAGTTCATTATCTCAGGTGTTTGTTACAGCAACAGAACACTAACTAAAATGTTGCCCATCCCCTCACAACTGTGTCTTCTGTTAAACAGATCCTTTGGTGGGGTGGGTGGGCATGGAAGTGGGGCACAGGAACTCAAATCCTCGCTGCAGGACTTGCTAACTGTAACCTTGGGCAAGTCATCTGATAGATGGAGACAATTACTGTCTCACAAGGGTCACCT